GTAAAATAGAGCAAAGTTAAAATTTGTACAGATGTCACATTAATAATAGCATTTGGTCCATTTCTTCCAGTAAATTCTCCACAGTAAATAATTCTGCTATAAATAAATTCTCTCTAAAGAAGTCCATAGAAGTCTTTGTCAGTAGGAAAGCTTTATTTACCAAACAGCAAATACCTTACTCGTTACACCTCAGTAATTTTAATCCCAAACTACTCACTTGACAACCAGGCTGAGAAAGTGGAAAGATTCCTGATTGATATCAGTGACAGAGGTGGAAATTAAATGTGTATGTTCAGTCTGAGAATTAAGCACTTATAGATCAAAATAATCTTTTACATCAGGTGTAAATAAACATGTATACAATTACCCAATGGATTCTTAGATTGCTCCATCTAGACACATAGTGGTAGGGGAAAAAGAAAGAAGAAACCAAGGGCTGAAAAATTAATCTGCTATGGAGCTGCTCCCTAATCCAAAATTGGAAGGATTATGGGTTCCATTTTATATTAGAACTGTTTAGATACCTGGGCAGAAAATCTGGTGGATGATCATATTTAGCTAGAAGAGGATAATCTAGAGCAATGATGTCCATTGTCAGATGAATGACTCATCTCATTTAAAACAGGTCTCAGACAGTATCTTAGAAAAGATGACGCAAGATACCAAGACCTTCAGCACATGGGGTGAGATTTAGAGATGGTCTTCACTGCAGACAAGTGAAATGAAGTGTGTTTCAGGAAATAACAGCTATAAGTCTCATCATAGATTAAATTTTGTTTCCCTAAATATATGTCACGTTGGAAAACTATCTGTAGAAAACTCAAGCAAGATCCACACCTCACTCCATAGACAAAAATCAACTCAAAGTGGATCAAGGGCCTAGGACTAAAACCAAGGACTATAAACTTCATTAGAGAAAAACCTGGAAGAACTCTAGAAGCCCTAATCCACAACATAAACAGTCTTCCAAGCAACCTGAAAAACCTACAACGAGGAGAGAGTAAAATAGATGAATAGTATCTTCTAAGATTAAAATCTCTATGCACATCTAAAAACTTCTCCAACAGGGTAAAAAGGAAAGCCACAGGCTTGGGTAAAAACATTTGTTAATGACATGTCTGATAAGGGACTTATATGTAGAATTTATAAAATACATGAGTACTACAATAAGATAAATGTAAACAACCCAATTGAAAAATGGGCATAGGATATGAACAGACACTTGACCAAAGAAGACATTCAGATGACAAACAAACACATGAAGAAATGTTCAAAATCCATGGCTCTATGAGAGATGCAAATCAAAACAAATATGATATATCATCTCACTCCTCTAAGAATAACAAAATTTAACAGAACAGCAAACAACAAATGCTGGCAAGGTTGTGGAGAAACTGGAACCCTATTCATTGTTGGTGGGAGTGTAAAATGGTGCAACCACTATGGAAGGCAGTATGGTGCTTTCTCAAAAAGTTGCAAATAGAAATACCATTTGATCTAGCAATTTCACTACTGGGAATATACCCCAAAGAGACCATAACTGACAACCAAGCAGATATGTGCACACCCATGTTTATCGCGGCTTTGTTCACAATAACAAAGAGTTGGAAACAACCCAAGTGCCCATCAACAAACAAATGGCTACAGAAGCTGCGGTATATTTACATAATGGAATACTATGCTGTATTGAAAAACAAGGAACTCATGCAATATTCTTTAAAATGGGTGACCCTGGAGGACATTATGCTGAGTGAAATATCTCAGTCACAAAAGGACAAATACTTCATAATGCCATTGTTGTAAAGTGGGACTGACATTGGGGTTGGGGGGGAACTAAAGGGAGATACATAATGTATACCACATTGAAACAGATGAGGGAGAGAACTGTTTAGGAGGAATATATGATTAGGTATTATTGTCATTACAAGAGTCCAGAATGAAAGCTGCATAATGGAGTGGACTGAGGGCGGGGGGATTGTATAACAATGAAAGAATTTTATTTTATTTTTTACTTTTCAAAGAGAAAAGCAAACTGGGGAAATGAGTGAAGAGGGAGGAAAGTGTGCACCAATGAGTGAATGGAAATCCAAAGTTTCTGTAAACATTCATTAAAATAAAAAAGAAAAAAGGGAAAACAAAACAGAAAAACACCTGGCCACAAGTGCCAATATTGTGTGACTGTAATACATTTTTCTGTTTGGTGATTTAAGTATCCTCCATTTTGTGATACATTCTAAATCCTAACATCTCTATATTAATGAAGCTATATGTTAACCTCACAAGGTTGTGTTTTCAGTCACATTATTGCCTAAGTTTCTTTTTTTTCTGCTTGGGATAGTTGTAATTTTTTTTTTTTATTTCCATTCATTCATTTTGGCACTTTTCTCCCTGCCCACCCTCCCCCCACCCGTTTGCTCTTCTCTTTGAAAAATAATTTTTAAAAAAATCTTTCATTGTTATACAATCCCTCCCCCCAAGTCCACTCCATGTAATTTCCTTCTTTATTTATATTATACCCTTACTCAAGTCACAGTCTTGCTTGAGTCAAACTTTGTAATTTGCAAGAGATAAAAAGTGTGGTGAGCAAAGACGGAAGGGATCTCACTAGTACCATTGAAAAAGAGCTGAGAATGAAGCAAACTCTTCAGCCTTAGAGTTTCTTCACTGAGAGCTTCCTAGACATAAGACAAGGTTGATGCAACACATAATGAGATTTCCAAGAAGCTTGGGCTCACAGATGTGAAAGGAGACAAGTTCCTTTCTCTAGAACCTGTACCTTGAATTCAGACTTCTAGCCTCCTAAACTGAGGCAGGGCCAGGGGAGGGATAAATTCCTGTTTGTTAAAGACATCCAATCCATCTGTGGCATTTCTAGATAAGTATAGACAGGAGTTCTGATGGTGTAGTGGTAAGGAGCTACACAGCCAACCAAAAGGCACCTGGTTCAAATCAACCCTCTGTTCCACAAGAGAAAGATGGGCCCTCTCCCCCTCTGAACCCACTGAAGGCTAAGCTATGACTTGGTTCCTGTTTGATATTACACAGCAATGAAATAACTAAGATAAACCTGTGCAAATACAATAGGAATTTAAGAGGAAGGCTCAGAGATTTTCAACTACTTTGCTATTTCAAAAATGGCCTTAGAAACAATCCTCCACATGAACCAAGATGCTGTCACTGCACATTGATAGAGATGCAAATCAAGTTCAGATTTTACCGCTTTGCAGCTTCTGCCTATTATGAAGAGTAACTTGGCATCATGATAGAGAGAGTATTGAAGCTGTCAAGAATTTCATCTTGCTTGATTCCACAGTAACACCCTTAATACCAACAGTCAGGAGATCAGGAAACGTATTTGGTTGGGCAAGTCGTTTGTCAGGGACCTCTCAAAAATATTGCGGAGCAATGATATCAGTTTGAAACTGAGATGCACCTGATTTAGGTCATAGTCTTTTTAATCACTGGCTATGCATCTGAAAGCTGGACAATTAATAAGGATAACAGAAGACTTGATGCCTTTGAGTTGTGGTGTTGGAGAAGAGTACTAATTATTCTGTGGGCTGCCAAAGAACAAACAGACAATATCTTGGAGAATGTGCAACCAAAGTATTCCTTCAAGGCAAGGAGAGTGAAGCTTCATCTCTCAGGATTTGGCCTCATTGTGAGGAGAGGCAGTTTCTTGGAAAGGGATATCATGCCTGGAAAGGTGGAGGTCCATGAAGAACAGTAATACCCTTAGCAAGATGGATTTGAGCTGCAGTAAACCCAGATACACCAGGGATGATAAGGATGGTGTCTGATAGGGCAGGGTTCAGATACGTTGTTCATAGGCTCGCTGTGAGTCACACGTAACCCAACAGCCCCTCACAACAACTAAGTACAAGTGAAAATGCATGGTAAGAGCTGAGAATGCAGAAAAATCATAGGGCAGGGCAAGAAAGAACTCTTCTAATGTCTGCCTAGCATTGAAGAGGAAAAGGGAAAAGGCACTGAGGTGCTCTATTTAAGACAGATTTTAGCATCTTAAAGCAATGTTTTCAGCTCATAAGGAAGCCTGAACGAATTATGTATGCTAATCCTCTACCTTCATGCTGACTTAACTATAACCACTGCATTTGAAATTGGGTTTTGAAATGTGCTTCTTTAGCAGAAAAAAAAAGTCCTGTGTGAACAAATATTTTATGTTCCCTAAAAAGCATGACTATCATCATTCTTTTCTGGGTAAAAAAAATAAAAACTATTAGAACTAGGGAAGTGAACAGGAGAAAAGGAAGCAAAGAACCAAGTCTTGATTACTATTTTCCTCAACTTGAAAACATACACACACAGAGCAATGGAGAGACACAAAGAGTGTTTAGATGTACTAATACGACCACTTCTAGACCTGCGTCTAGGAAGACTTTCTCTCACAGAGCTGTTGATGGGTGCAAACCACCAGCATTTCAGGAAGACTCTCTGGCTCCACCATCCTACATTGACCACAAAGATCAGGATTGGCCCTGGGGTGAAGGAAGTCCTGTTTGAGGGATAATAGGTCACAGACATCAATAGTTTCTATCTAGCCTGGGGCCCACTTTGTAATATCATCTGCCATTTCTGTGACCCATTAAGATGACGTATTATCTCCAAATAAAAGAAAGAAAAGTAATTCTTTTTCTCTCTGACTAATGCGATAATGGTTATCAATGGCGGACAGTGTTTGGTGGAGCTCCCTCATTAAAACAAGCTTGGAAGCAGGAGCGACATCCACTTCCACAATAGCTTGCCTCCAGAAACTCTATGAACCGGGAGAAACGATGAAAGTTATACAAATGTTCAGGTCTTTCGTTCATAGAGTTGCTATGAGTTGTCTACAACTCAAGGGCACATAACAGCAATATTAGTATATACAGGAATTATTTACAATAAGTATTTTTCAGAGTTTTAAAAAGGAAACATATTACTACCTTTAATGTAATTATAACACATACAATACCTTTGTGCTTCCATTATGTCCCCAGGAATTGCCTCCCTATAACGGTTTTGGACTAGTTGAAGATTCTGCTCAGAATTGTTTTGCTCTGATCCCAAAAGCTCCAAAAAAAGATGTTATTAAGATGCTGATGAATGATAACAAGATGCTTCGTTATTTGGCTAAACTGGTAAGGCAAACGTTTATATAAATTCTGGTCTGTCTCGATAGTGTGAGAATGATCCTTTCTGTGTGTAAGTAGCACAATAGTTGTCAGAGTTAAGAGTTTTACGCAAAAGACCATTTGATCTGGTACCCAGTCTTCAGGCAGGTTAATAGAAACAAAACAAAACAAAAATCTCTGCCATCCACTTGATTCCAACTATACTGACCCTAAATAATAGAATAGAACTGCCCTCAGAGGGTTTCCAAGCTGGTGAATCTTTACAGAATCACATTGCCACATTCTCCTCTGCAATGGCTGGTGGGTTTGAACTGCTGATCGTTTAAATAGTGGCCAAGTGCTTTGCTACCCATGTGGTAGGCTAAGCCTTCACCCAACTCAAGTCCTAACTCCAAAAAGAATCTTTCTTAGATCATTAATCTCTTCCCTCCGTGCCTCAAATTTTGACAGACTTTTCTGACTTAAAAAAAAATTAAGCAATTTTATGTTTCATATCTAAAAGCATATAAGCATATAAGCAATTATATGTTATTTGTGTATCTGTGTACCTTTCTAGTATATTGTGATTTCCTTGAGGGTAAGGGCCATATCTGGCTCATCTTTAGTGATACCTAGTTTGATACATTTTTATATTCCATAAATTTAATAAGGGAAATCATCATACTAATTTAATAGATATTCCAACTGTAAGATCATACAATTAGTGATTAAGAGTGTACATGTATAAACAGACATAAGTTCATATCTTGCATATTCCATTTACTGATTGAATTACCTAAGGCAAATTACTGAAAGGAAGTAAAAAGATATGTATGTTTAAAAACTTAGAAAACATAAACTGGAATGTTGTTGTTATGTGAGATCAAGTTGCCTGTAGTTCTTGTGACTCTCTGTACAATAGCTCTGAACCCTTCCCTATCCTGAGCTAGTCTCACTGTCTCTGACACACTTGCCCCTATTACCCCATTCACTCTGTCAATCTATCTTATCTGGGTTCTTCTTCTCCCACAATATCCCTCAACCCTTCCAAGCACGATGTGCTTGTCCAAGGACTGGTCCTTCCTGACAACATGCACAAAGTATATGAGACAAAGCTTCAAAATCCTTGCCTCCAGAGGGCAACTTGATTTCAGGACAGATATGTTTGTTCTCTTGGCAGTTCATGATATGTTCAATACTCTTTTTAAAAAAGATTTTTTTATGTGTGTACTGTCAGTAGAACAAGATGATTGACTTCACATGCAAGCAAGATTCTACTGAAGATTATCCAAAAACGACTGGAAGAGCACATCAGCAGAGAACTGCCAGAAGTCAAGGCTGGGTTTAGAAGGGGTCGTGGTACTAGGGATATTGTAGCTGATGTTAGATGAATCTTAGCTGAAAGCAGGGAATACCAGAGGAATGTCTATCTGTGTTTCATTGATTATGCAAAGGCATTTGACTGTGTGGATCATAACAAACTGTGGCTGACTCTGAGAAGAATGGGAATCCCAGAACATTTGATCGTTCTAATGTGAAACTTATACTTGGACCAAGAGGCAGTTGTCAGAACAGAGCAAGGAAACACTGAATGGTTCAAAATTGGGAAGGGTGTGCGCCAGGGATGTGTCCCATCTCCATACCTTTTCAACCAGTATGCAGAACAGATTATCTGAGAGGCTGGGCTCTATGAGGAGAAGTGGGGCGTCAGAATTGGTGGAAGATCTATCAACAATCTGCGATATGCAGATGATACAACCCTGCTTGCTGAAACTGAGGAGGACCCGAAATGCTTGCTGCAGAGGGTCAAGGACTGCAGCCTTCGGTATGGATTGAGGCTCAATGTCAAGAAGACAAAGATTCTCACCACTGGACCAACCAGGATGAATGGTGAAGAGATTGAGATTGTTAACAACTTTAGTCTGCTTGGCTTCACAGTCAACACTCTTGGCACCAGTAGCCAGGAAATCAAAAGACATATTACCATGGGAAAGTCTGTTGTTAGGGACCTCTCCAAAGTACTGAAGAGCAATGGTGTCACTCTGGAGACTAAGGTGCATCTGATACAGGCTATGGTCTTTGCAATCACTTGTTATGCATCATAGTTGGACAGTGACTAGGGAGGATAGAAGGAGAATTGATGCCTTTGATCTGTGGTGCTGGAGAAGAGTATTGATTGTACCATGGACTGCCAGGAAAACAAACAGATTCATCCTTGAGAGGGTTAAACCAGGCTTCTCCTTGGAGGCAAGGATTCTGAGGCTTCATCTGACACACTTTGGACATGTTGTAAGGATGAACCAGTCCTTGGAGAGGGACATCATACTTGGGAGGGTGGAGGGACGGCGCAAGAGGGAAGACCCTCTATGAGGTGGATTGATTTAGTGACTGGGGTACTTGGGATGGGTGTGTCAGAGGCAGTGCGATTGTTTCAGGATAGAGCAGGGTTTAGGGTTGTTGTACATAGGGTTGCTATGAGTCACAAGCGACTCGACGGCACATAACAACAACAACCTGGCTACGTAGGCTCTGGATTGGTGCACTGGCTTAGAAATTTCTTCTACTTCACCCACCCCTTAGGAGTCTCCCATTCCAGAAGACAAAGATCGTCGATTCATCTTCTCTTACTTTTTAGCCACCGATATGATCAGTATCTTTGAGCCTCCAGTGAGAAATTCTGGCATCATTGGGGGCAAATACCTTGGCAGAACTAAAGTTATTAAACCAGACTCCTCAGTGGAGAATCCTGTCTACTATGGCCCTACTGACTTCTTCATTGGTGCTGAGATTGATGGTAGGTCTAAAGATAATTTAGGCTTTCCTAGTAGATGAATTAGTAAATTTTTCTTTGTAGGAATTTGATCCTATTATCTCTTGTATAAGTAAACTATGCTATATCCTGATCAAAATAAAGTATGTGTGCTGCCGAAAATATTAATGTGCTTCTTTATCTACTAAATTCTAAATTAGTTGCATTTGTTGGCATGGATTCATGCACTCTATATGTAAACACTGAGCTTCCTAAATGCTGTGTAGTCGACTGCCTAGTAGTTTATGGACATGTTGGCAATTCAGTACTTGGGGTCACAAATGAGCATCCACAAACTTGTCACTGGAGGGCCGATATTATTGTATTCCTGATTGCATGTTAAAAAGATAACCAAGCCAAGTGTAATACTGTCTTTCCCTCAGTGTTTGGCCACCGGTTCATCATCCTTGATGTAGACGAGTATGTGTTGAAGTATATGGAGAGCAATGCCACCCAGTATTCAGCAGAAGCACTAGCATCAATTCAGAACCATGTTCGAAAGCAAGAGGCTCTGGAAAAGTATGTTTCATGACCAACGTTCATTTTAGAGTTGGCACATACTAGGTATTTAAGAAACAGTTCTTGTAAAATAAGTAAGTAATCACTTTTTATTTTCAAATTTCCCCTATCGGATAGGAGTTATTAAACATGCTCATGTGGTTCCCTAGTTTTAGTAGTATCTTTAAACTTTTCCAACTTTATTAATTTAGCAAGTAATTATTGAGTATCTACTATGTTTCAAATATTGTCAGAGCCCTTGGGCTGTTATCAATAAATCAGACAACAAAAAAGTGCTGCTTTCATGAGCTGACCTTCTAACATAACAGGACATAGACAATAAACCACAAAGGTAAATAAATTATGTAGAATATGAATTTCCTGGGGCTGCTGGAACAAATTATCACAAACGTGATGCTTTGAAACAGTAGAATTTGTAGGGAGGCACTCACTCTTTAAAATAATCAACATATATTATCGAGAGGGTTGCATTTGCCCAAAGGGCAAAAAGTCCTGGTATAGAGGCTGTATGGGGACAAAAGGAAGAGGGAAGAGTATGCTACACTGTGTGCATTGCAATTACTGTCATAAAAGGTGTATGAATGATTGACTGGAAAACCAATTAGCCCTGTAGACTTTCACTCAAATCACAAGAAAACCACCACTATTAGACAAACCTACCAACCATAATAAAAATCTATTCTCTCCACAACAAATTGTGACTAGTCTGGATGAGAACTGGAATCCCAGAACACTTGATTGTGCTCATGCTAAACCTATGCTTCGGCCAAGAAGCAGTCTTCACAATAGAGCAAAGAAACACTGCATGATTGGAAAAGAATAGAACCCTGAAAATGTATATTTTTTATGACTCTTTAATGGAGGATCTATATTAAGGAAAGCAATACAAAAATGTTTTGTTATTGTTGTTATTAGAGTTTATTATGATTCATACTGAACTCACGTGAAGGACTATAATTGCCTAGAAGGGTTTTCTGAGCTGTAATCTTGGTGGAAGCAGTTCACTAGGTCCTTGTTTACTAGATAAGTTCACAAGAAGACACTGTGTACATATGGGGAGTGTGTGCGTAGGTAGGTAGTGTGTGTTTATAGTCTTTATTGTTAAATAACTATTTTTTTATAAAAAAATAAATCTATTCTCTTGCACTTCTGGAAGCCAGAAGTCCTGAATCAAGGGCTGGAAGTCTAGAATCAAGATGTTACACCCCTCTCCACAGGAATACCACAGTCTCGCCACCACCATCACTAGGGTTTCACTTTCACCACGGTCTTGATCCCACCAGGCTCTCACTTCACCCAGGTCTCACTCTCACCAGGGTCTTGCTGTAGACTTCCTCAAATATCACTGCCCAATATGGGAAGCACTCTCTTATCCTACTCCCACAGCTGTTGATGATTTACAAGACCATGTGTCTGCAGTTAAGGTAGGTGGAGACCAGAGGAGGCTAATATAATGGCTAGAAAAGCCAACTTTAAAAAAAATTATTAATTTCAATGAAAATTTAGAGACTTCGAATTTCCATTCATTCGTTGTTGCACTTTTCTCCCCTCCCAGCCCTCCCCCCTACTACACTACCCTCTTGGAAAAGTAAAAGAAAAATTCTTTCATTGTTTTACAATCCCTCCCCCTAGGCCAACTCCACTATACAGCCTTTGCTGTGGACTCCTGTCATGACAAAAATACCTAATAACATATCCTTTTTAAACAGTTTTCTCCCTCATCTGTTTCAGTGCAGTATACATTATTTATCCCATCTTTCTCAGTCTCCCCCCAACCCCAAGGTCAGTCCTGTTTTACAACAGTGGCACCATGCAGTATTTGTCCTTTTGTGACTGAGATACTTCACTCAGCATAATGTCCTCCAGGGTAACCCATTTTGAATAATATTGCATGAGTTCCTTGTTTTTCAATGCAGCGTAGTATTCCATTGTGTGAATATACCACAGCTTCCATTCATTTGTTGATGAGTACTTAAGTTGTTTCCAACTCCTTGCTATTGTGAACAAAGCCGTGATAAACATGGGTGTGCATATATCTGCTTGGGTGTCAGTTATGGTCTCTTTGGGGTATGTTCCCAGTAGTGCAGTTGCTGCGCCAAATGGTATCTCTATTTGCAACTTTTGAGAAAGCGCCATACCACCTTCCACAGTGGTTGCACCATTTTACACTTCCAACAACAGTGAAAAAGGGTTCCAGTTTCTCCACAACCTCGCCAGCATTTGTTGTTTGCTGTTCTGTTAAATTTTGCTATTCTGACTGGGGTGAGATGATATCTCATAGTTGTTTTGATTTGCATCTCTCTTAGAGCTAGGGATTTTGAACATTTCTTCATGTGCTTGTTGGCCATCTGAATGTCTTCTTTGGTCTGTTCATATCCTGTGCCCATTTTTCTATTGGATTATTTACCTTTATCTTGTTGTGGTGCTCAAGTATTTTATAAATTCTGGATATAAGTCCCTTATCTGATATGTTATTACCAAATACTTTTTCCCAGTCTGTGGCTTCCCTGTTTACCTTGTTGGAGAAGTTTTTGGATGTGCCCAGGGATTTAAGTCTTAGAAGATCCCATTCATCTATTTTATCTTTTCCTGGTAAAAGCCAACTTTTTAACTAACACTGCAGAACCCTATGTTCAACAGAATGAAATTGCGATTGTGCAGTCATTATGTTGATCGATTTCATTGAGAGTCTTCCTCTTTTTCACTGACCTGTTTTCCCAAGCATGGTATCTTTCTTCAGGAACTGGATCCTTTAATTAATGTCCAGAGTATATGAGATGAAGCCTCTACCGTCTTTGCTTCTAAGGAGCACTCTGACTGCACTTCTTTCAATACAGATTTGTTTATTCTTTTGGCATTCCAAGCTATATTCGATATTCTTTGCCAACAAGAATTCAAAGGCTTAAATTCTTCCTCAGTCTTCCTAATTCATTACCCAATCTTTACATGTATATGAAACAATTGAAAACATCATAAAGCAGGTACACCTTAGTCTTTACAGGGGCTTTCTTGCTCTGTAGCTTGTTAAGAGTTTCTTGGCAGTAGATTTACCTAGTACAATCATATGACTTCTTGAGAGACACTTCCACTGGTGTTAATTATGGAGCCAAGTAAAATGAAATCCTTGACAACGTCGATCTTTCCTTAGTTTATCATGATGATGTTTCTTGGTCCTGTTCTGATGAGACAGTGGGCTTGTGGGCTGGGCTGGCCTAGCCTGAGGCCTTTGGAGTCTCCCTCCACTCTGGAAGTTGGCTGGCTGGCTGACGTTGCAGTGGTGTTTTCGCCTTGGTGGCAGTCAGGCAAGGGAAGTGTCTGGGGTCCAGTTGTCGTGTGTTACTGTTCTGACTGGGGGCAGAGGCCGAGGCCTGCTCGAGGGTGTGAGATATCAGTTGGCCTAGTGGATAGAAAGATTGTACCAAGTCAAAGGTGGGTGACTCTAATCCGCAGCCCTCAGGCCTGGCTTTAATTGGTTTTGGTCAAACATTCTTCCGGGTTGTATAGCCCTGGTGTGTCCACTTGCTGTACAGAGATAACTCGTGGTTGCAGTGCAGCTGAACACTGTGACACTGATGTGTCAAATGTGATAATGGTTACCCATGGTACACAGTGTTTGGTGGAAAATAGCTTGCCTCTGGAAACCCTATAAACCTGGAGAAAGGATGAAAGTTATACAAGTGTCCAGGACTTTCGTTCACAGGGTTTGCTATGAGTCGCCTACGACTCAATGGCACTTAACAACAACATACTGAAGACTATAGTCTGAGCTTTATCAATAAATACTTCAAGTTTTCTTTGTGTGGGTAAAAGAGGTAGCTGTAGCTGGTTGAGGGGGGCAGTCTCTTCTGATTGTTTCTTTGTTTTCCATATAGTAGAAGAATAAGGATTGGAGAACATCCTGGGGGAGAAATTGTCAAATACTCTTTTACTGAATCACTTACTTACTCACTACTGTCCAGTCAGAACCGACTCTGACCCTCTTGTGGGGTTTTCAAGGCTATAAATCCTGTGGGAGGAGATTGCCCATCTTTCTCCTGTGAAGCCAGTCATAGATTTAAACCTCCAAATAGGACAGACTATACCACAAGAGCTCCTTGTTTTTATTACTGTGTGGACAAAATTAATATTAAAATGAACTAAAGACATGTATTATTTCCTTTTATTTGCTGCTGAGAACAAAAGATTTGCCAATTATAATTTATATGAGCCATTAAATGATCCAGTCTAATTCCAGATATCTTAAAATATGAGAAAAAATTGTATTTGAAGACTGATAAAATGTGTCAGCTCTCTAAAAAATTGGAAGTTGTCTAGGAACCTTGGAGCTATCTAGAAAAGTAGAAGTATAAGATGATGTCAGGGAAGCAGTAAGGGCCTAATTGAGATTCAAGGCCATACATTTAAGTCAAGTAATTTACAGATGTCTTTTTCTAACTGTCCCTTATGTGTGCAAATACTATGACCCAGCAGACACTGGGAAGCTTCTTATTTTTTCATAGTATCAGGAAAATAATTTTCCTTCCCTCTGATTTATCAGTGAGAAAAAGTTAATTTTTTATGTCCTTAATAAAAATGAATAGCAATTAAAAATCTGGGTTAAGAGAATTATAGCTATGCTTTTAAAAATGTTCACCTTTCCTCTCTTCACGTCTGATGGATCTGAAGAGTGAGAGGAAATAATTGAAGATGATTTAAATGTGTGCTGAGCCTTTGCTTTCTTTCTCCACCCACAGAGTAATGACTCTCTAAAGAAACACAAATCTTTTATCTTACCAGTCACTGCTAGTGTAGTGAAGGTGATTCAGAGTACATTTTATGTCCAGTGTCAGCTGCATGACAATGAAATTGGGAATTAGCCATTTGCCTTTTCTGAACAACAACAACAACAAATTAAAATAGTAAAGTTGACCTGGCACTGAACCAAAAGTTCTTTATGGTTTTTGGATCCTTATTGTAATATATTGAGCCAGATTTAAAGATTACCAATGCACATGCTCTAT